TGTACAGCATTTTATTTTATGCAACAGTTTAATGCAATTTTATAGGTAATAAACAAATCAACAAGTTAAACTAGATCTGCTACATCACGTTATGTTAAGAGTAGTTAAACAAGATTAAAGTAAAATTCACACAATAAGTAATGCTGAAAATAGTAAAAATTATATAAATGCGACTTTGAAAATGCAATAAACTTAAGTGAGGATTGATATTGGACATTAGCCTTGGAGAATAAAACTGATATAGAAAATTTATATCAGATATATTGAAATCTTTCAACACATTTCACAACTCCTACTTCTAAAATTAAAAGCTTATAGAATAAATGACTAACTCTACAACTGGATATTAATGTTACCTAAGAGATCGGCATTAGAGTAATATTGTTGGTGGTACATACTCAGAATGAATAATAGTAAATAGTGAGGTCCCCCATTATTTACTTTTATGATATATAATAAAGATTTTTCTAATTTGGTTTTAGATGTTGTATCTGTATTTACAGATGATACTAAGTTATACAGTTTGCTTTTTGATAGCTCACCATGCAATAACCTGCAATAAAGTATGGACATTATAGCAAACTGGGCAAAACTATGAAAACTAAGTTTTAATGTAAAAAAATGTAAAGTTATGCCCTTAGGACCAACAAATACAAAATTCATTTATATACTCATTGATAAATATCTTAATACTTCAATTAATATTAAAAACTCTCTTGTCAATAAAGGGATCTTCATTGACAGTAATATGACTTTTGTTTTGTAAGTACTAAGAATAACACCGCCAATAAAATTGTAGGAATGATCAAAAGATCATTTGTCAATCTCAATATCTTGACATTTTGTACTTTGTTTATTTTCCTTATTCGTCCTCACCTAGATTCTTGCAGCTCTGTCTACTATCCTAAAATTTAAAAAGGTCAACAATTAATTTAAAATGTTCTATGCTAGTCTAGTAAATTTGTTTTTGGCCAGACTGGACTCACTTTCAACCAAAGACTACTAAGACTAAATTTAACTAGCATGAGCTATCGTTTCTTATGTAATGACATGGCTGAAACTTTCAAATGCATTCACAATTTTTATAACTGTAGTTGCAACCCTTTTGTTTCCTCATAAAATACCATTCAGTATTTTATCTATCAACACCTGTGTCAGAATGATACAGGTGTTGATAGATAAAATACTGAATACTTTTTTTCAGTGTTCCATAACTGAGAAAAATATTCTATGCCTGGCTAACTCATTCAATTGAGCATGAGATCTTAATCTCATGCTAATTTGAATCTCGTAATCTTGGGGTAAATATTTACTTAGAGCCTCAAGTTGTTCATCTTCCTTAATGTCATATTTAAATAAGAAAATATTATCATAGAAACCTTACCAAACTGCGCAAACTTTAAAATTGAATTTTTTTTACTAACCAATAATTAAACTCTACTTGCAATATAAAGCAATTACATTAAACATTAAGAAATGAAACTCAATAATTTTTAGACTAATATTTTCAGTTAAAAAAAAAAAATATTCTCAAAAAAGAAAGTTATCTGAAGTTTTTTTATATTTTAAATTTATTTGTGATTATTTTTTAGCTGATGTACCATTAAACTGAAGGTGGTAATAAAGTTTAAAAAATTTGCTCTGGCTGAATTTTTCAATGAAAAAACAATATGTGTGCCATAAATGTAATCTGTTTTTCATGGCGTATCAATGAAAGTTTGGCGTATTGGCCAAATCAATTGCAAGCATCTTGCCTTTAGGCTGCCATACATAAAGTCACGCTTTTAAAAGTAACTGAAAGCAGCTAAAATAAGAATTTTTTGGTAATTGTCTTATTTACAATACTGTTTTTGTTTTATTTACAGTATTGTCTTTGTTTTTTATCTAAACAGCTATGTTTGACTCAAATATAGTAAATGTTGATTGTTTAGTATGGTTTCATCTCTTCTTTATACTTTTTTTTGACAGTTATGAGACTGCTTTAGAACCGAATTATCTGTGCCTCCAGCTTAAAAGGATGCAGGTTACAAAAAAAAGTGACACTGATGAGATTGTCTCTCAGTTTCTCAAAGATTGAAGAAATCTTTAGTGTTTTAGGGTTAAGTAATTTCATCAGAGCTTTGCTTGACTATTTCTTTCGATTTATTGAATTTATTTGCCGGTTATAGAGGAAAAAAGATCTTCTAAACCTAGAAGAAAAATTATGACAGACACCTTATGAATCAATAGTATATATCAGTGAATTGATATTAGTTAATAGTTTTTGGAAACAGTACCATGTACTATTAAAGTTTCTAATTTTTAAAATGTATGATACATTTATATGAAACAAACAAATGATACAATATGATACGTGATTGACTATAATTATGTTGTATATCAGAATGTTTTATATAAATGCTTATTACATTTTATTGTGATTTTTATCTTTTATGCCCAGTTAGCAATGTATTTTGTGTAGCAATGACTACTAATCTCAGATATCTATGACATCTGTAGGGTGTATTCACCGCTACAGATGTCATAATCTATTTATAACCAATTGCTTTTATTCTTCCATAATGTCATATTTTAATAAGATTCACATTATGGAAAACCGCTTAATACATACACATGAAGAACCATTATACTTTTAGTACAACCAATTATATTACATTTGTTTTCTTATTTTAGATGAACTTTCTTACTTTGGTTGGAGGAGATGAGAAACAACTTACAGCGGCAATCTTAATACAGCTAATGGCCAAAGAAGTATGTTTTTCATACTCAGTGCATGGAAGGAAACAAAAACGTCCTGCAAGGTCGTTATAGGTAAAGTACAATATTTGTATTCTACATCCCATTTCTTTCTAATAAATAAATAAATATTTTAATAATAGCTAATTATTTTACAATATTTATACGTGAAAAGTTATATATTTCAAAATTATATTGTGATGATATTTAAAAAACATTTTGTAGAGTTGCGTTTAGTCATTTATCGTTGTATTCATTCATTTCGAAATCACTACTGATAAAAGTATTAAAGAAAAAGTTGGCAGATTTCTGGCGTCGGCCATTAATAGAGATTACGGAAGAAAAATAAAACCATAACTGAGCAACGCCCAATATTAAGCCAATATAATGAAAGTCGATGCACACTATCTCATAGTGAGAGTATAATATATATATATAGCGTGTTCTATGATTATTGTCATTTCCTAGACTATAACCTGTTTAACTCAAAAGAATAATGCAGCCTAGTACTATAGTACCACTTAAACAAAAAAACTGTTATAAATTTTAATTATTACAAATTTGTAGAAGGCAAGATTTTTTATTATTTTTTAATAATAAAAATTTAATCGAAAATACTCAATATGTTGCCTTAATTTAGTTATATATATTAAATATATCAGGATAATATTGTAAACTATATTAGGCCAATATTGGCGAGTATAATATCCCCGTTTTTGGTGCGATATTATTTACAATATTGGCGCAATATTATAAACAATATCGGGCCAATGTTGCAGTGTAAACATTTTGCCAATATTGGCCAATATCGACTTTACAGCATTGGTGCAATATTGTATCGCCAATATTGGCCAATATTGGCAAAATGTTCACAATGTAACATTGGCCCGATATAGTTTACTATTTTGCGCCAATATTGTAAGCAATATCGCCCCAATATTGCGTCAATATTGCTTGCTACTAGGGATGATATTATTTTTAAAAGTTTTTAAAAAGAAATTTCAAAGCAACTTTTATTTTATTCTTAACTCCTTTTATTTTAATTTCTGAAAGTTCTTTCTTCTAAAATTCATTATTTAGTATCAATGGATAAAAATTTACAATCGCTAGGTCATTGCATATTATTTATCATTAACTTGCGCGCACTTTGCAAATGTAACATGATATAACATGATTTTTAATTTTACAAAAAAAGCTGAAAAAAGTGAACCGATTATAGATAATATGGCAAAAGATGACCTTGGTTTGTTTTCCATACATAAATCTGGACTTAGTATTTAAGCCTAGATCATAAAGCCCATCACAGCTAACCACTAGTAGCCATCTCATTACAGTAAATCACCATTACCTACCTCATCACAGCTAAGAACAAGTAGCCACCTCAATTTTTGATTTTTATATTTTTAGGTAAAAAAAATTTTAAAAAAAATATTAACATGTTTTAGAATAATATTGATACAAAATAACCCAATGATATACAGAGGCATCGTGATAGAATAGACAGGATAAACAAAGGACAAAGGGTCACTGTGTCTACAATAGGATTGAGAGCCAGATAGCTAATTTATGGTTGAAGAAATTGTGGAAAAACTGTTAAAAAGATGAGTTTTATCTACAGGCCACCAAGTGTGTAACAACGCTACTGATGGTATATATAAGACTTTTGTTCACCATGAGTATCAACAAGAAATATTTATTTTTAAAAATTTGTTTATTTGTATTGGCTTTTTTAAATGTGTTATACTTTACTTTTTTTTATAGTTTAATTGCTATTTTTAAACTCTTTTTTAAAAATAGTAATTAAATTTATTTTAAAATTTTTAACATTTTTACTTACTAAGTAAAACTTAATTTTTTTCATTACTTGATACCAAAAAGCTATGAACTATAATTTCCTAAATTTTGTTTTGTGTTGTCAAAAAATTATAAAAATTATTACCAGGTCACCCTGTTTAACAGGGTAGATTTATAGGTGTTATATTTTTTGTTTTTATGGGCATCCAGAGGAATAAACACAAGCTTTTAACACCCTGTTTAATAATAAGTGATTGATCTGCTTTAAATTAAAAAAGTAATTATCAGCTTATACCTAAATAAAATCTTAAAGTTTTAAATATTTTAGGAATTGATTTAATTCATAAACAGTAATTTTGTATTTACTTCTCAGTAGAAATTTTTTAGCTTAAAACTCACAAAAAGTATTTCTTCAGTTATATCATGGTTTCATATATGATTACACAGATAAGATTTATTTATCAACAAACCGTTAAAGGTTTATCAGCTGAGTCCATAATTTCTTCAAGATGATTGTCAGCATATTCTATTCGTTCTTTTAATGATGACTTTTTTAAATGACCATGAACATTTACTAAATGTACTTTAATCCAATTTAATCCATTTTCCCCAAGTTTTTTACCTTTTGCAAACAATAATAAACCACGAGCAGCATCAGAACCTAATAAATCATAAACACTATAAATATTAAAAATTTTATTTTATGTAAACTTTTCTTAAACTTGCTTATTTTATACAATTTGTGATAAAAAAATAAAAATACCTATATGTGAACAATGTGGAGCAATTGGATATGCCCGGCCTCTAAAATCAAGATTATTGGGTATCCAAAAGATTTTGTCGCGATAATGATTAGATATTGAAAGTTTGTATAATAAATCCATACGCAGAGCAAATAACTCATGATGTAGTTTTTTCTTTAATCGTTTATTTGTTTTTTTGTCTATTGCAGTCATATCTTCTCTAACAAATAATTATATCAAAAAACATTAAAAAAAGATTCAAAAAAACAAAAATATTTTCATACATTTTTTGTGCATTTTTTCATAAAACAATTTAAAAATTAAATTTATTTTATTTTTTACTTAGATCAAAATATGGCTGAAACAATTTGTTGCATATTATTTTGTCATTAAATTTTTAACTACAATCATATAAAAAATAAAGAATAATCAAACATGAAGCCACTACTAATCAATCAAAGAAAACTTAATTTTGTATTAATTTTTAATTAATAACTTATATCTAACTTTTTAGCAAGATAAGTCACGCACGAAGACTCAATATTAGGAGTATAATACATATAAACAATATTACAAAAAGAAACTTTCCTACTTTTTTTTTTCAGATTTTATAAAATGTAATTTTTAAATTGATTTTAGAACATGATTACTTTATCACAAGCAATTATTTGTTTTTCAGTTTTTGTAAGATCTGTAAAAAAAATATAAAACAAGTAATATAAGTAATTACTTGTAATCATATTGCTGCATCATCGTTTCAATAGGACCAATAATATCAAGTTTCATATCTCCTTTGTTGTTAAACATCTCAAGCATTATGTCTAATATTTTTGTGTTAACTTTCCATCCACAATTACCTAAGTAGTTAAGAGAGTCAAATATTCGGGATAGCTGTCCTTCCTTTGAAGCTTTAGAAAGTTCATGCAACTTGTATTGACCACTAACAGTACGTACAAAATCAGCTAAATAAAAAAAACAAAGGAACTAGAACTATGTTATAAAAAGAAAAAATAAACATAATAAAAAAACTATTAAAAAATCATATATAACATTGCTCAACTTTTAAATGCTTACTTATGAGTGTTTGACATAGAAGTCACGGCAGCCATTACACTTGAGTTAATGGCGAGAAAAAGTCACAGAACTTTTTTTATAAGAAAATGTGAACAAAAGTGTATTCAAATGTCTAACTTATGTAAACTTCAAATTATGTAATGTTAAAATCAAATTTTAACAGTTTTAATTTTATTTTACTATTTTATAAAGTTATACCATCTTTTATTTATTGAATAGTCTTTAAAATTATTGGATTAGTGTGCCTTAGTGGCCAAAGTGGTTAGCTTGCTGCACTTTCAAAGTGCAATGCAGGGGTTCAAATCTTGTTGCTTGCACATTTAATATTTTTTTTTAATCTTTTCCAATTTTCTAACAAAATAATTTTAAAGTTCTATTGATTCTATATATATAACATGTATTGAGATATATACTATAACAAACAAAAGAGAAAACATTTTTAAAAAAGCTTAAAATTTCTATAAACATCAAAACAGTGGGAGAAATTTTTTGCGCATGTCACAATAAAGATATTTATGTTATTACTGTACTTACGTAATTAGTTAAGTCTGCATGTTTAACACACATTAAAGAAACAATTTTCTTTCTTAAAAGTAAAAAGATTTTACATTCAAACTTTTATTTTCTTTAAAATTAATTAATGGGGCAAGGGTCCTAATAAGTTGCGAATGGTCTGGAAAAATATTTTATAAAAATTTAATAGAAACTTGATAAGCAAAAAAAGTAATAAGCCTGTACCAGTTATTTTTTATAAATGTTTACATTTTTACAATAAGAAGTTATAAAGTATTGAATATTAATTAACTGAAAACAAAAATTTGATAGATTTTTGTTTTCTACCACTTACTAAAAATTATTGAAATAAAAAGACTATATAAAGAATTTGTAAAAAAATGGTCATTGTGAAAAAGCCTTATCAAGACATATTTGATTATGATTACTATGATTATTCTACGACATATTATGATTATTCTACGGGTCATGATAAGTAATTTAATATAAACAAATAAATCAAGTTATTTTCAAAAAAAAGTGTCTATTATATAAGTGTAATTAAAAATGACCAAATAAGTGAAACTCATATCAAAATGAACATAGCTAGCAATAAAACTAAAACATCCTACTGTTGCATTCAATTCTTTCCACATTAACTTTTTTGATAAACCACCTGAATTATTTTCTTTTAGATAAACCCAGAAGAATAGTATTTATTTTAGTCTTAATTTTTTTATCTTAATTTTTGCATGATAAATTTTCAACAATTCAAATTGACCAGTATCCTCTGGAAAATTTCTATTTAAAAAACAACGCGATAATAGTGTAGTGGTAGAGCGCCCACCTCATAAGTGAAAATTCCGAGTTCGATCCCCACCCCACATCCCTGGTAGTACCCTGCTCAACTTGTTTCTTCGCGCAGCGGCCTTGATCGTCAAGGTTCGTGTTTTGGAGTAATAGAGTTGAGAGAGGGTTGTTACCACAAAATTAGCCTCCTTGACTCTAGTGGCCTTCTCAGCTTTGGGGAAGTGAATAATTAAAAAAGAAGAATAAAAAAAAAGGCTATAAAAAAATGCTGTGTAATGCTGCGTCGGAATGTTGTCTTGTGTTGTGCCAGAAGATAGAAAATAGCATTAAGTGAAGCTGTTGACATAAACAAGATTAATGTTTTTAAAATTAAGATATTTAATAAAAAGTTAATAAAATTAAGAAGTTTATGTAAAGCAAATGGGATAAGCAACTTAGGGAAGCAAGAAAAAAGAACTTTAAACCTATATAAATAAAAATATGCAGTAATCAAGCTTACATTTGTAATAAAGTTTGAGAGTAAAAAACATGCAATAATACATGATTTCACAACAGAGGTTAAGTTGCTTACACTGATCACTTACATTACACTGATCACTTACATTACACTGATCACTTACATTACACTGATCACTTACATTACACTGATCACTTACATTACACTGATTACTTACATTACACTGATCACTTACATTACACTGATCACTTACATTACAGATGTAAGTGATCACTAGTTTTTTTAAATGTTGACTTTTTGCCAACATTTAAAAAAACTAGTGTGTATAAAGATAAATTTAACTAAACCCCATATAATTTTAAATGCACCATGGAACATCATAATATAAACTAAAAAAACTAATATCTAACAACAAACTCACAATGAAGCAGCAGATAAGCGCCACTAGTCAATGAAACCCATGGTCTTGGAGGCATAACCATAGGAAGTTTATTTACTTCAAATGATATCTCACCAAGTTGATTTAAATAACTGTGCCACAATCTACTAATAAGGGGATGAACTTTCATGATTCCAATTAACTTATAACCGTCTTGGTTGTGAGAGTGAACTACACAAGATTCAATGGATGTCTCTTTAGTTCGTGTAAAAAGACTGGTATCCACTTTAGCTACATTCTTCAGTATATTAAGGAGATAACCAGCCAACTTTAACAAAAAAAATTCTACTGATAATTTTAATGTATGATAAAAGTTTGTTCAAATTATGGTAATTGCAAAAACCAAATACTTAATATGAAATTCTTTAAAAAAAGATATCTTGCATTTGGTTTAATGAAAATTATTTTATATAATAACAAAAACTAAAAAAAGAGATAAAATTATCATGTTTTTACCGTAGTTCGTAGTTTGGATGGCCAATAAGTGGGTAAAAGCTCCTCAGAAGATAGATAAGGCAGTGAATCACTTATTTTTTCCCACTTTTGACGTGGACATTCACTGTTTACTGAAAGTGACTCATCATTTGTACAGTATAACTGAGCTATTTTCTCCACCTAAAAGTCAAAAAACTTTTAAAAAAAAGTATATAGTTTAGGTTAACTTTTAAATAATAAAACAATAAAATAGTAAAAATAATAAAACAATAATAATAGTAAAAATAATAAAACAATAATAATAGTAAAAATAATAAAACAATAATAATAGTAAAAATATTTTTTTTTCATCTTTTATTATCATATAATATTTTAATACTGAATTTAATGGTAAGAGATTACTACTACTGTACAACAATATCTGTGGTGTAGTCCAAGATCATCTGTATACTTTATATCATCTGTATTTTTCTTTTACTCTAATAACAACTCTCTAATATCATCTGATAATTCAACAATCCCTAACAACATCTTTAGAAAGATGTTGTTACATCTGAAAAAATCTCTATATATAACTAAATCTGGTTAAGATAATGCATTATTAGTTTTTTTTTTTTCCAGATGTAGTTAAATTTGAAAAAATTTCTGTATGTAATAACATCTGATTAAAATAATGGATTATTAGTTAATTCATCTCAAAAATAATTTCATTATAAAATCTGCATATATAGTTGCACAGATGTTATTACAGTTTGATGATTCAAAAGATGTAATTACATCTGTAGAACCTACAAATGTAGTTGCACAGATGTTATTACACTTCGATGATTCAAAAGATGTAATTACATCTGTAATATTCATTTAATTTTTGCTGATGATATTAGATGATAAAGATGTTATTAGACATCAATGAAATTTCAGTTGTTGAACAAATATTATTATACCTCATTTTATTTACACAGATGTTGTTATACAGATGTTGTTGGACAGATGCTATTAGACATAACAAAAACTGATGTTGTTACATGATGTTAATTTAATGCTGCTGCTGTTACTCATTCGTGAGTGTTTGACACGGAAGTAATGGCAGCCATTACATCAGAGATAATGGCAAGAAAAAGTTGCAGCACTTTTTGTGATCAGAAAATGTGAACAAAAGTGTATACAAATATCTACTTTATGTAAATTTCAAATTATGTGATTTTAAAACATCAAGTTTTAGAGTTTTACTTTTACTTTAAAATTAATCATTTCCTTAATTTTGATTTTTTATCATTTAATAATCATAATCTTTAATTTACAATCATAATATTTAATTAACAATCATAATATTTAATTTCATAATCATTTCCTTAATTTTGACATTTATTTACTGTTCTATAAAGTCTTTTGTTTATTAAATACTTTTAAAACCTTCATCCAACAATACATTTTAGTGGCCGAAGTGGTTAGGTTTCAGCATTCTGAAACCTAACCACTTTTTTTTGATTTTCAAAAATAAAAAATAAAACATTTTTGAAGTTCACTAGATATTTTTACATTTATAAATTTTACTTTTATATAAAAATTACATTGCAAAAACTTTTATTACAAATTGCGACAAAATCTCCTTAACTTTGATTTAAAGCATTTATTTGTTTTATAAAGTTATTCATTGCATTCCATTTAAAAAATGTCAGTTTAGCGTGTCTTAGTGGTCGAAGTGGTTAGCTTGCTGCCCTCCCGAAGAACAACGTGAGGGTTCTTACCTTGTTGCTTGCATATCAATTTTTTAAAATCTTTTCCAATTTTCTTAAATAAAAATTAAAAATTTTAAAATTCTTTTGTTGATATATACAAATATAATATACTATAACAAACAAAATAGAGAGATTTTTTAATAATTACAATAAACATTAAAATGGCGATAGAAATTTTTGGTTCTTATGTCACGATAGAGATACTTAAGTTATTAATGTGCTTAGGTAATTACTATGCATTCAATGCACATTAAAGAGACTTTCCTATAAACTTTATGTTTATAGGAAAAACACTCAAACTTTTATTTTCTTCAAAATTAAAAAATGGGGCAGGGTTCTAAGCTACATGCTTAAATTGGCTGAAGTAAAGTTTAGCATTTGTTTACATAAGCATGTTGTTTTGTTAATTACCTAATAATCACGCAATTATCAAGTCCAATGTTTATGTTAATCATTCACTAATTATGCAATTATCAAGTCTGATGTTTTTGCGAAGATTATATAATGTAAGCAACATAAGCATTTAACTATTACTGTATATTTTATTTCAAGAGATTTATTTATGCTATAACTTTGATAGTCTCACATTGTTTAATAATTTTCATAAATTGTTAATATTATTACATGATAAATGGTTAGAAAATGAGAGTTGACTGTAGAAAAACGATCTGGAATATTTACTATAAGGCAAGTGTAATATATATATATATATATATATATATATATATATATAAATATATATATATATATATATATATATATATATAATTTAAGATTTCAAGCTCAACAGTTTCAAATATTATAAGACAAATATTATACAGTTTCAAATATTATAGATTTATCTACTATCAAACTTTTATGGGATGAATTAAAAAGAAATGTAGAAAAACTAGTGGTACAAAGGGTTTGTGGAAAAAACTTAGTAGAGAGTGGCAAATAATTGACTTCGACAAATTGGAGAAGTTGCTATGAAGAATACCAAGAATATGTAAAGCGGTTAAATTATAATAATAATAAAATAACTAAAACTAAAATTAAAAAGATAAAATTAAAACTCAAATAATAAATTAAGCTTAGATTATTTAAATGACATTTTCGAATGAATAACTTTGAATTTTTATCTTTACTAATGTTTTTATAATATAATATTATGTGAAACCCTTTTTAAATAAAGTAATGACTTAAATCCAGCAACTGTTTAATAAATGTGCACATTTTAATGTTAAAAAAAAGATTCTTAACAATTCTTTGCAGTAACGTAAACAAAAGAAAAAATAATTAAATTTTTTATTAAAAAGTTGATGTAATTTTTTCTTATTTAAAGACATTTATAATAATAAATACATACTTATTTAAACATTAAAAAATATATATGATTTTGATTATTACTTTTATAAAAAATCATTAGCAGTGATTTATTACGTTTAAATGCATTTCAATAATATAAAAACATAAGAACAAAGTTATTTAATTCAAACAACTTTCAAAAAAAAATTTTTTTTCTCAAAATCTTGCTTCTTTTTTAGTGAATTAACTTAAATGATTCTTATATAAAGTTTATTAAAGAGATCATTGCTGTTTAAAGTTGCCTCTTACAAAAATAATTTTTTTTTTTTTAATAAATTTTTTATTTATTTTAATTATAAAAAAATTTTATATAATTAAATAATATAAATAAAAATTTATACAACTTTCATTGATACTCTAGTTAAAATAATAAGCCACTTTATTTAAAAGCGTTTTACTAATATATTATCAGATTTATGGGTTAATGGAGAATAAAAATGTATTTTAACTTTTTTCTAATACAAAGTTTTATTTTGTTTAAACTAAGTGTTGTTAATATGATTTTATTGAATGTTATTGAGATTGAATCAGTAAAAAGAAGAACAGTAATACATTTTCATTTCGAGATGCTTATTGTTCTTTGACTAGTTTAAATCTGGCAAAAAATGAAAGAAAGATGGACTAGTATTATTTCTGTAGTACACAGATCGACTTGTAGTACAGATCGACGTAAGTTAAATGAAATTATGAAAAAAAGTGAAAATAACAAAAAATGGACTAATATTGTTCTTCTTTTCACCGATTGTGGATTTCAGCATATCTGGAATTTGATGTCAATGTTCTTCCACCATTTGTAAAATATATTGCAATTGAGTTTCATCTTTTGTCAAGATTTTTGTGTAATCTGAAAAAAGTTTCACCCATTTTTTGGCTGGTTCGTTCACTAACTTTCATAGAATTAACAATTTTATCTGCTTTCTGGTACTCGGTGTTACTGTACTCTATGTGTCTGGACAATATTCCTTTATAAATGTCTAATTTATTCAAAGCACTATAAATACATGTTTTGATTTCTTTGTTAAAAAGTCATCTAAGTTCATGCTTACAATTTCATCTTTTAACCTTTTGTCATCAAACCATTCTACCTGGGTTTTTTTGGCTGGCTTTTCAAGTGCAATCATTTTTTCTTTACTTTGGTTATAAACTGTAAAAAGAGAGACTCACAAGCCCTTCAATCAAAAACCATAAATGTCCTGCAATGGCTTTTATGGCAAATTCAGCCACTAATTTCTTAATTATTGTCATGTAAGAAGTCATTTTAAGAAGCAGAAGTCATTGTAAGAAGCAGACGAAGAGATGGAAACCCAAAACTAATTTTCCATGTGATCTCAAAATTGAAAAAATTGAATATTATAGATTCTTCTCTTTGTTTATTGTTAAATGAAACTGATGTTAAAACAAGTCGATTTTAATAGAGTTACCCAAAGTCTTTGCCTAGGTGCCCAGTTAACATCCAGCTACTGTCTTTTAAACACCATTATGACACTATTTCTAGCCTTTACTCAACCAAGAGCCCTAGGGCCGGTAAATTAAATGTCAGAGTTTATTTCTTCTTGGCAGATTGATTAAAAAAAAAGTTTTATAGATAATTACAACTTTTATTATGCTTTTAATATTAAAAGAGTATACAAGAATTTCTTGAAAAATGATACTTTTGTTATTTACATTAATTTAAAAAAAACTTAAATGCTTTTAAAACAAATTTAATAAATTTTTTTAAATATTTTTTTAACATGTCTAATATGTTGTACGTTTGACATTAATAAAAATAAGTATTCTTATAAATTATATTTTAATTTTTAGGTTTTTTCATTTGTCAGATAAACACAAAAAATCATTAAACAAAAAAATTATAAAACTTTAATTATAACAGAAGTTTATTAAAAAGAAGTTGCTTTATGAAAATCCTAAAATAATATTTTTTATTTGGAGTAAAAAAATAATTTTGATTTCCTGATTGCCAGTTAAAACAAAATACTTTAATTTTTTTATTTGAAAAATTTTAAATGTATTTAAAATTAGTAACCTATATTTTGTCAACTTAATTCACAATAGTAGATTTTCAGATAGTCATTAAGAACTAGTTGATGATGGGAAAAAATACTACAGCTTATTTAACTTTTTTTTTTTTGAGATACAAAGTTGAAGAGGTTAAAATAAAATTTGAGGAGGTAATAATTTTTTTTGATACAAGTTAATAAAAACCACTATTTGTGAAAGAACTACCAGAAAATATCTATAATAAAAGTCGGAAATAGTTATGAGGCTTAATAGTTATTTTTAATAATAATTTTTTTTTGCCATTCAAGAAAGAGGATGCCAGCCAATGGTATTTGTACGACTCTAATTTTTAAACAGTGTACTTGGTAGTCTGAAATTCTAAATTTAATTTACTTATATGCTTCATACTGTTTCTCTGTGCTTCTCTGTTTGTATTTTAGAGTTATATTATGATGGAACTATTAGAAAATTTTTTGAAATTAAATTTGCCTGTGGATTTTTTTTCCTCAAGAACTCAATTATTTAAAAAAAAAAAAAACCTTTTTTTTTTAAATAAATGAGTTCTTAAGGTACTTTTAGAAACCATAAATCATTGACGAATCTTATTATAAATTAATTTTTTTTACTCTATTTAATCTTTTCTTGCATTATTCTTTGTATTTTTCTTCTTTTCCTGAAAACGCCAAAAACTAGTAACAATTTGTTATTTATATTAGCTAAGTAAATATATGTATGTATGTATGTGTATATATATATATATATATATATATATATATATATATATATATATATATATATATATATATATATATATATTATATATATATATATATATATATATATATATATATATATATATATATATATATATATATATATATATATATATATATATATATATATATATATATATATATATATATATATATATATATATTAGGGTGGTTCAAAAAACAACTTCTTTAAGTTTTTTTAAAGTATGTCAACCTGGTACTCAAAAGAAGCAAAATTATATAAAAACTTCAAAAATAATGATCAATTTAAATAAAAATATTTTTTTCAGATATAATTGCCTAAAAACTATTGTTTTTAAGGTGATAATAAAAAAAGTCAATATTTTCAAGTTTTTTTATAATTTTATAATTTATTAAAACATGTTTTTTATTTAAATTAATTATTATTTTTCAAGTTTTAATATAATTTCGCTTCATTTGAGTACCAGGTTGACATATTTTAGAAAAACTATTTTTTTCCAAATATTATCAAATTTTTAAGAATTATGAGGCACCCATAAAAATATTTTTTGTTCAAAAAAATTTTAAACCTAATATTTTTGCATTATATAAAATACATTTAGTTAAGAGCAGCAGACTATTTTAAAAAAAGTTGTTTTTTGAACCACCCTATATATATATATATATATATATATATATATATATATATATATATATATATATATATATATATATATATATATATATATATATATATATATATATAACCCTCGGAATCAGAAAAAAAAAGGCAATAAATTGCCAACCTCGCACTTTTAGTCGACATTAGGTTGGTTATAAATAAAGTCAGCAATTTTTTGCTGACCTCAAACACTTTTAGGTCAGCAGTCAGGGCGGCATTGCCGAATGCTGACCCTAATTCTGAGAGCTGTATATATACATAATAAGAATATAAAAAAACTTATAAGATCTCTTGGTACTTTTTAAAATAATTTAAAAAAATTATAAACAGCAAACCTTCTCAACAACACCTGTTTTTTGCTTGTATTTAGAGCAAAATCTTTCAAATAATAATCTGCCAAGATGGCGACATAAAAAACTGACATCCATCCCATTAGGCTGAGCACAAAGTAATGGAAATATATCATCAAAAATAATGTCTGCCAGCTCTTCAGCTGTAAATATTTTTGTAAAAGTTACCAATCGATCATTTGCAAACGCTGTAAGAAATAAATAACTTTTTTAAACAGACAAATATTTATAACTTTTATCAAAATAAAAATTTCAGACTTCAACAACAGTAAGTTGTGAACCAATTTAAATACTGATGGTGAACATGATGATGATCACTATAAGTAAAAATATTTTGACAAACTCAACAAAAAATAAAGGAAAATTTACATTTTCTTCCTTTGGTGTTACTTGCATTAATTATTTCAAGAATAAAGTCTTTCTTCCATTGCTCAATAATTTGTTTATACCATTCAGCTCGTCTTATTGCTTTCTTACTATGCAGCTTTGTTTTATCAACAGATTTAATTTTCACACTTCCTACAAACAAAAGAAATTAACAGCTAAAAAAATTTCAATTAAAAAAAACCATACAAATCAGTGAAAAATAACAATAAATTTGTAATAGTAGAATGGCTTGAAGAAATTCTGCAATTACAAATGTTAAACTAAAAATGATGATTAAACACATAAATCTGAAAAGTTTGTAAAAATAAATCCTGTATACTAGTTTTTTTTTAAATTCATTAAGTTTTATGCATAGATGCTTTAATTATCATCTTTTTAAATGATAAAGATAAAAGATATTTTTAAATGTCTTTTTAATATTAACAATAAATCTATTATATATATATTTAATTTTTGCATTTATTAAAGCAGCAAAAAGTATCACTGATAACAAAAGATTATTTTTGTCTTAGTGTAAGAATTTTTTTAATACTTTTTAAGCTTGTAGAGTTATACTAAAACTTTGCCACAGTACCAAAAAAGTATATAATATACCAAAATATACAAATATTCAAATATATATACTCAATATATAAATAAATAAATATATATATATATATATATATATATATATATATTCTTTTTGTATTGTTTAATGAAAGGTTGGCACTGATTGCTTTTAGCATTGTTTCAATTTATGTTTATCATTTTCTAAGGTTGTATTTTTGTCTTAGGTGATTCGGTAATACCACTGAAAATAACATTGTTTTCAATTTTCTTTTTGGCATTGAATTCATTGGTAATTTTAGCCATCATTACAACTTCAGTTTCTTTTGGCTTTGGTATATTTTGTTTTGTTGCTTCCACGTATGAGAATATTGTTGGATTGTCTAATATGTCACAGAATAATTTTTTTTTGGAGGATTCTGTATCCCAGATTCAATTTTTCATTCAAGTTCTTCAATTTTATTTTTCAGGGTTTTGTTTTCATCATTTAGAAGTTTAAATGATTTGGCGAACAACTTAAACCATTCATGATGTTTCTTGGACGTGTCTGAATGGTGCCCTGACCCCAGACCTTCTTGTATGATTGCATCGAGTGATGTTGATTCCATGTTTCATTAGATAGTGTAAAGGAGGGTTACCACCCTGTATAACAGTGGATTACCTCCTTTTTATTCTTTTATACTATTAATCTAGAACTTGTAAACACACTGCTGAACAAAAGAACTGTTTTTAGCAACTTTTTTGATTAATCTTAGGCATATGCTATTTAAGACATTTTAAGGGTTGATTTGAACACATGCGCTAGTTACATATGATTGCTGCACGTTTCTCTTTGGTTGAAATATTTGGATATATAAATTTTGGCTTGAGCAGGCAATCTTTTAATTAAATGGAATTAAATATATATATATATATATATATATATATATATATATATATATATATATATATACATATATATATATATATATATATATATATATATATATATATATATATATATATATATATATATATATATTATTAAGAAAACATCAAATAATAAGAATTCTCTTAATACAAATGATAATTTATTATTAGAAACTTTCGCTGGATTATGGTTACCAGCATCATCAGCTCGTAAAAATTAATACAAAATTTTTTAACGTTAAAAACAGTTTAAAATTAACTGACGTCAGCAATTGAATGGCTTCTTTCTTGCTTACGTAAAAATGTAAAAAAACGAAGTCCAAAATTTAGTTTTAACAAATTGCCCGTTATCTAGATTAATGCCACCATTTAAAGGAGAACATTGATACCTCTGTATTTCAAGAGCTTCGCGCACTTTTCGATCAAACTTTTTTGTTTCCACTTTAATTGTTTTAACATCCTCCCACTTTATTTCTTGTGAGCAAAACTTATTATGGGTGGCTATTGCCGACTGATAATGTTTCCCCTTGTTTAAACTTTTTTGATGTTGTTGAATTCGAGTCCTAATTTGAAGTTTGGTTTCGCCTACGTATCTCTTTGAGCATTCACATTCAATTAGATAAGTTCCGGGTTGACTATTTTGTGGCAATTTAGTTTTGTTTTTTGATGTTAAAAGTGTTCTTAAATTAGGATTTGATTTGAAGACTACTTTATAGCCAACTTTCCGAAATATTTTCCTTAATTTTGGGGATAGTGATGGTATCCACGGTAATGATACAGTAGGGAGATTAAGAGGACTTGATTGAATTTTGTTGCTTTTTATTGACCGTTTATTTCCGATTAAGTTTGCAATGCATGTAAGTTGACATATGTTGTATCCATTCTCTTTAAATACGTGAATTAGGAAATTAATTTCATCTTCTAAATATAAATCACTGCATATAGAGTAAGCTCTGTGAATGTAATCTTTAAATATTGCGTTTAGAATTTTGGGGTCATGATTTGAGTGAGGTTTAATTTGAATATTTGTAATGGCGTCCTTTTTGTAAACTTTAAACTCGTATTTACCTTTGGTGTTATTTACTATGGTTAAATCAAGAAAGTTTAGAGTTCTATTTTCACTTTCAATTTCGATTGTATATTGTATTGCAGGGTGTTATTTGTTCAAGATAATTAGGAATTGTTCTGCTTCTTGAGCATTAGAAAATCTAGCATGACTATCGTCAACATATCGAATATAAGATTTTAGGTCAAGAGGAGGATTTACTGCATTGCAATTTTAAAAGCGCTTTCTTCATGATGTTGTAAAAAAGATTCTGCTAGTACAACCATGAATGAAAGACCTATAGGACCGGAATTCTCCAATTCATGGATCTCATTGTTCCTCAAGAAATAACAACTGTGTAAACAAAGTTCTATAAGTTGTCTTGTTTCGGATATGGAAAGCTTGGTGGAATGTTTGTAGGAATCATCTTTATTTAATTGGTCTATAAGAATTAAAGTGGCTTCCTTTAGTGGAATTGATGGATACAGGTTTATTACATCAAATGAAACCTGAACCTCATTTTTTTTTTAAACTGCCATGAACTTGCTTTACTAATAAAATCAAACGAATTTTTCACAGAGCTTACTCTATATGCAGTGATTTATATTTAGAAGATGAAATTAATTTCCTAATTCACGTATTTAAAGAGAATGGATACAACATATGTCAACTTACATGCATTGCAAACTTAATCGGAAATAAACGGTCAATAAAAAGCAACAAAATTCAATCAAGTCCTCTTAATCTCCCTACTGTATCATTACCGTGGATACCATCACTATCCCCAAAATTAAGGAAAATATTTCGGAAAGTTGGCTATAAAGTAGTCTTCAAATCAAATCCTAATTTAAGAACACTTTTAACATCAAAAAACAAAACTAAATTGCCACAAAATAGTCAACCCGGAACTTATCTAATTGAATGTGAATGCTCAAAGAGATACGTAGGCGAAACCAAACTTCAAATTAGGACTCGAATTCAACAACATCAAAAAAGTTTAAACAAGGGGAAACATTATCAGTCGGCAATAGCCACCCATAATAAGTTTTGCTCACAAGAAATAAAGTGGGAGGATGTTAAAACAATTAAAGTGGAAACAAAAAAGTTTGATCGAAAAGTGCGCGAAGCTCTTGAAATACAGAGGTATCAATGTTCTCCTTTAAATGGTGGCATTAATCTAGATAACGGGCAATTTGTTAAAACTAAATTTTGGACTTCGTTTTTTTACATTTTTACGTAAGCAAGAAAGAAGCCATTCAATTGCTGACGTCAGTTAATTTTAAACTGTTTTTAACGTTAAAAAATTTTGTATTAATTTTTACGAGCTGATGATGCTGGTAACCATAATCCAGCGAAAGTTTCTAATAATAAATTATCATTTGTATTAAGAGAATTCTTATTATTTGATGTTTTCTTAATAATATACATACACTCTTATACACGATGTCGACACTAAAGATATATATATATATATATATATATATATATATATATATATATATATATATATATATATATATATATATATATATATAAACAAGGCTCAATTTATTTTTTTATCAACTCCCAAACAAAATATATAATCAAAACTTATTTAGGTTGGACTGTCTGATCAATTTTTATAAATTTAATTTGAACACAAACTATTTTTTACAAGTATTGTTATACATTCATATTTGTTTAGTTATAAGGAACACAGAAAAAAGGTCTTTAAATGCCAAGAGTGAAAAAAGTATTGCAGATGGGTTTACTTAAACTAGCTATGGGCATATCTGGGTTTTACGGAACCGAATAATGCAATCGAAATCTGTGTCATGTTATTCAGTATATTTAATGTTAGTCTAGTGAAGTTCTTCTGAATAAGGCTTTCAACAACTTTAGTATCTTTTCTAAATATTTAGAATATTTCATCGCAGGTTTTTGCTTTTTAATAAAATAATTTAAATTCAATATATAGGCTTGGTTAGGAAGCATGTGGGATTGCACTCTATTTCTGACCACGCAAATTATGGCCATGGCTTTTTAGATGTTTTGAGAACATTCAAATTTATGTATGTATCCATGTACAGCTGTGAGCATGAAAATAGCAGTACCAAAAAATTATTCGTTTTTTCAATATTACTCTCCTTCTGTTAATACAGAAGGGCTAATTTTTTATGTGTGTATGTACTAGAATGAGATAAATAAATTGAGCAAATGAGAATTCATTACATTGTAGAATATCTTTATTTTTAATAAAAATATTGTAATTGACAAAATGCATTAAAATAGCAGTGGTTGTATTAATTTTAAAGTTAGTTAACAAAACTTGAAGAGATTTTAGTATTTTTCGTTGAAAAAGTAAGTACTACTTCAATTATAACATATTCTTTATTTATTTGAGTATGCGTAATGGTAAAATTGTTTTCTAAACCTTTCAAAGTGGGCCGAGGACATCATTGTACACCAGCAGAAAGCAACATTATTTTGAAACACTATAGAGAGGGTAAATCTTACTCATATATACAAAATATTCTCGGATGTTCAGCAAAGATGATTTCAAATGCCATAAATTATATAGCAAAAGTTGAAAAACGAGGGGGGAAACGTAAGACTACCACGCAAGAAGACCGAAGAATTGTTAGATTTGTTA